GGGGGGGGCAGGGGGTCAAGTTAGACGAGGCAAAAACTGGCTCTAGAGACACTTTTCTTATTACATATAGATTCAACATAACTTAAGCTACATACAAGCCACATTGATCAAACACGCCGGTGCCCGAGGGCCGGCGGATTAGGAACAAGTAGTTTCCTGGATTGGTCTACACAAGAGAGGAGCGTACACCAAAAAGCCCACACAACAACGGAGTTTTCGTCCCATCAACGGGTTGCCAGGCTTTTTGCCGCCGGGCTTTTTGCCGCGGGCGGCGCGCGCCAGCGCGCGGACGGAGATGGACCCCGAGCTGCGTGGCGTGCTCGATGCCCTGGAGAAGGCGGGAGGAGGACCGGCCTGAAGGGTCCCGAAGGTTGGAGGGTTTGTTCATTGCGATGATTTCGAGATTCTTGCACTAGATGTTTCAAATGGAATTTGAATAGCTGTTTCAAATGTGATTTGAATGGGGGATGGCTTTCGTGCTCGAGTCTTTTGAGGGGGAGAATAGGTGTCATGGCGGAGCCTGGAGACATTGTTTATTTTAGGTGCCGTGGATCTCAGGGAAGCATCCCAGTTCGGGCGACGGTGCTGACGATTGAAGGTGACACGTTGGTAGCTGCTGTGCCCCATCTCATAGCTGGAGGCTTGCCACACGGGGCAGTTGGGGGTGACAAAGGTTCGCGGTGTGGCTTTTTGAAAGTGCCGACTAACGCAGTGACAACTTCCAAGCCTGAAGGGTGGACAGCATCTACGGGTGGAACCGCTCCCAGTTTTGAGACAGCGCTGGCCATATGGGAGGCAATGACGTTAGAAGAGCCTCTCGAGAGCAGCGAAGTCGAACAAGGGAAGGGAGCCACTTCCAGCAAGACTCTTCCACCTGGAAAAAAAGGGACCCCGGACTTTGGAGATGGACCTCAAGCAGATGGGCAAGGAACTGTGGGGCGGACTCGAAAGCGGCAGCGAAGAAGAAGACAGTGGTTCAGAAGAAGAGGACGCCTTGCCAAGTCGCTCGGTGAGACACCTGGCTCCTGGCGGAAGCAGTCTAAAGCCCAAGACCAAGAAGGACAAGAAGAAGGAAAAGGAAACTCATGCAAGCGAACAACTCCAGCAGGCCATGATGCAAGGGCTGGCCAGCGGCAGCAGCCCCAGCGAAATGATGCCCTTGTTGATGATGAACTACCTCCTCGAGCAACAAAAGCAGGGCTCTCGCCGCAAGACGCGGAAAGACCGGGAAGCTTGGGACCCACTAGATGGTTCTTCATCCGAAGAAGGAAGCGAGCGAGAGCTCAGGGCAGACAGTGGCATGAAAGCAGTCGTAGCCTTGAACCGACTCCACCGCCGAGTAAAGAAAAGTCCCAAGATGATCACGCAGGAGTTCGAAAAGGAGCTGATCGAGGAGCTGGGCGTGGTCGAAGGCCAAGCTTGGTCAATCAAGGATTGGTTGAAGAAACAGCCTTGGGGAAAATTCAAAGGTTTGTACCGCAGTGCGATGATGGACGCTGCGGCCTACGAGCTGGTGAGGAATGGCGACCCCCAAGCAGCCGGAGCCCAGTTGGTGCAGAACATGAAAGCGAAGCTTCAATGCGTCCTCCAACAAGGGGAGTGGGCCAGTGCATGGCAACTCACCGGACTACCGGACCCCTTGTCCCGTCGCGAATGGGCAGGAACCAAGGAGGAAATGGCGATCATCAGCGGCTACATGAACTCCGTGCACAAGCTCAAGAAAAGGATGAAGGAGGCGAAGGAGGCGGGAGGAGCCGGCCAGGACGAGGCCGACTAGCGGGTTCACATCTGCGCATCGGGGGGGGGGCGGAACATGTCAGTCTGACCGCTGTTATCCAAACTTCCCGGTGCCAGATGATGATCCCACCAGAAAAATGCATGGTCACGATCCTTGCTCACGGGGTTTCTTTCCCTGGGAGCGAGGCCGGAATTCAAAGTTCATTAGATACTATGTCTGGCAGAAGGGCGCTCACAGTACCCTACCGGCTCGGGCTGGTAGCGATGACACTTCACTTTTTCCAGCTGCACTCCCTTACCCAGAAGCCTTCAGTGCGGAGGGTAAGGCAGTCGTCGGGCATGAAAGGATCACTTTGTTTGCAAAAGCCTTCCTAAACTTTTGGGTTTGTTGGAGCAACTTTGTGGTGCTGGGTTGTCCTGACTGTCGGAATGCGACTGAGGCGCGGGTAGGCTATAAGCAACTGGAGGACGTGAGGTCCTGCGCTGATGGCTTGCTAGGCGAAGTGAAAGAATTCGTTAAAGACTTGTTTTGTGTAGAGGTGATGCAGATGGAGGGGGGAAGACAGACTTTGGAAGAAGCCCTCCAGATGCTTCAGGTGAGTCATGCATGCTATGGTGCCCCAGTCACCTCTGCAAAAGCAGTGTTGGAGAAGGTGAGCGCAGCAATTCCGGTTCAGGCTGAGAGAGTTGCAATCCCGGAAAAAGCCGGACTTGTGGACCCACTAGCATGGCTGCCCCCACATCGCAAGGCAGTCTTAAGTGATCTCAGCCGGCTTCGGCGACCGGAGCATTTGTGGAGAGAGGTCGTGCCAGCTTGCCATCGCGTCCCTGTGTCCGAAGAGGCACGGCTGATGGCAAAATTGTTAGCAAACGGAATGGTTTCGATTTTCCCCGAATCTGACCTTCCCAAAGACTCCCAGGGACGATTGCTGACAGGAGGCTTCTTTTGTGTAAAGAAAAACAGTAGTGAGGACCGTTTAATTTTTGATCGCCGCCCCGAAAACGCGACCATGGACCGGTTGGATTGGGCTAAGCTTCCGGCCGGAGCTTGCTTCTGTCGAGTTCTTTTGGAGCCAGATGAATTTTTACGCGGCTCTGGAGACGACCTGCGCAATTTTTACTATTCACTGCGACTCCCTGAGAACTGGAAGAAGTACAATGCAGTAGGCCGTAGGTTACCTTCCTTTTTGGTCAAGCAATATGGGGGCGATCCGAACGTTCCTCATCGAGCTGTGATGCGTGTGTTAGGCATGGGTGATACCAACGCATGTGATATTGCACAAGGGATGCATGAGTTTGTCTTGGAACAATTTGGCTTGCTGGGAAGTGAGTACAAGTTGGTGTATGGACAACATGTGCCGCAGGGCAACCTCCTTGAGGGTGTTTACCTGGACGATCTTTTGGTAGTTCACAAAGTGAAGGAAGTAGCCCCCATACCTTTACACAGTCCCTTCGTTGCCCCGGTGCCACAGGATACAGATCCGGATGTGGTGCATGTCGCAGCTGCCGAAGCTGCGTATGCGGCAGCGGGCCTGGAACGGGCCACCCACAAGAGCTTTCGGTTTCAGACTTCCTTCAAGGCCTGGGGGGCTGAATTGGAGGGCGTCAAGGGCACCGTAGGTGCCCCATTGGCCATGAAGCAACAAGTGTGGTGGTTATGGAACAGAGTGGTCTGTTTGGGCGAGGCTACAAAGTGTATTCTTCAGAAGCTTCTGGGCTATACGTGTTTTATTTTCCAATATAGACGGGAGTATTTTTCTCTGATGCATCACATCTTCAAGTTTGTCGATGGTATGGCAGATGACAGTGTAATGCGCATCCCGTCGCACATTTTGGATGAAATACGTTCAATACAGGTGCACTTTCCTTTTGCCAAGTGGAACATGCGAAGATGGCTGGATCAGTCAATTTTGGCAACAGATGCAACCCCCACCTCTGCGGGAGCCACCCGTGCGCTTGCGTCTGCCCGCCTTGCCCAGGAGCTGTGGAAGCGTTCTGAGATTCGCGGGGAGGCAGTACGCCTTGACCGGAGTGACGGGGGAGTAGAGCTTGGAGGCCCGGAGGAACCCAAGGAACCTTCGCGCTTTGGAAGTGCTATTGCAGAGCGCTTGCCTTGGACAGTCACAGCTAGCTACACGTTCAGGCAAACGTCACATATCAACCTTCAGGAATGTAGAGCTTTGAAAAAGGAGATCATCCGGGCCTCAGCAGACCCTTCGAAGAAAGGGAGTGTGCAGATCTGTCTTAACGACAGCCGGGTAGTTGTTGGGGCTTTTGCTAAAGGCAGGTCGTCTTCCTTTAAGTTGAATGGTACACTGAGAGGGCTCCTTCCGTATTTGACAGTCAGCAATATTGCTTTGGCTTTGCTATGGGTGGAGACGGAGTCCAACCCCGCCGACTACCCTTCACGCTTCAAGCCTTTGCCTCGGCGCCATACTCCGCCCAAGTGGATGTGGAAATATGACCTGCAGTGGTGTTTCCCCCCAGGGCTTGAGGTCTTCCCAGGCGCAAGGTGTCTAACAGAAGCGTGTTTGAAAGGTGGTATTCCTATGCACAGAGCGGTAGACGATCTTTGGGGGTTAGATGTCTTTGACAGCTGGATAGATGAACTAATCCTTTCTGGCCGGGTTGGCTTCGTGTGGCTGGCGCCGCCATGCTCTGGAAGAGAGCTAGGTGATGCGTTGTGGAAGCGGGCTCTTGCTTTAGCGCAACTGGCCATTTCGGTGGGTATTCCGTTTTTCCTTGAGCGACCTGCTAAAAGTAAAGCGTGGTTGATGGACGAAACCCAAGCTTTCTTGAGTCGGACAGGACATAGGCTCCATCAGGTACAGTGGTGTGCTTACGCAGACCATGAACGTAATGGTTGCCCTGTGCCCAGACCTTCAAAAATTTACAGCTCAGCCCAATGGTTGCCCTTCATCCTCCATCAATGCCCCGGAAGTCACATTCATGGACCCCTGCCACGAGGTTCTTGGTCCAAGATAGCAGCGTCTTATCCCTTGGGATTCTGTCAACTGTTTGTGCAAGCACTACGGCGGTGGCATGGTGCGCCTTCGAAATATAGGGCTGTCTCGGCCCTATCGACGAAGCTTGCTTGAAGCGGGCAGAGCTCTGTTGCGGAGACTAGCGCAGCGGGGTTACTCCGTGACAAAACAAACACCTGCGCAGACACTGGACCGGATGTTTGAAGCAGCAGTGGAAGATGCACATCGGGAAGGGGTCAAACTGTATTGGGTTACTTTGGGAGTGGTTGCGCTTCAACGTGCATTTAACGTTTCTGGTACGCTCTTGAAGGGCACATGGCGTGCCATACAAGGTTGGCGTTCTCTTCAACCTGTTCGTTCTCGGATCCCGATCACAGCTCAGGTCTTGTACGGTCTGTTTGTTTTTGGGTTGCGCGAGGGCTGGAGAGAAGACGGTTTCCTTCGTGCGCAGATTTGGGGCTGTGTGCTGGCCTTATGGTTGGGTTTCGCTTGCCTCCTCCGGCCTGGTGAGATTTTGCAATTGCGTGTGCGCGATGTTTCTTTCTCGACTGCAAGCAGTTCCACGCTATTTGACCCCGGAATGGTACTAGTGGTCCGAACCCCGAAAACCAGAAGGGTGTGGCACAAGCAATTTGTCCTTTGTTCTGACGTGCGGTTGGAACGCTGGCTTCGCTGGTGGCTACAAGGTCTTTCTCCTCGGGCTCCATTGTTTCCCTTTTCCAGATATATTTGGACTAAGCACTTCACTCATCTGTTGCAACAACTGGGGCTGCAAGACATAGGGTATACTCTGGGCTCAGTCCGAGCGGGCGGTGCCACCCATCATTTCAGACAACACGCCAATTTAGGTCAGTTGCAATTTTTGGGACGGTGGTCGTCAGCAAGCACCATGCAATTTTACCTGCAGGAGGCATTCTCAGCGCATGTTGAAGCACGTTTTTCAGCGGCAACGTTGGAGAAGCTTAATTTGTTAAACCAGCATTCTTTTCTTCTCAGTTCCCCTCCAATCCAGTCACTCTTTTCTTTGTTTGGTGCCGGGGCCCATGTGCGAGCGCGACGAGATCGCCCCGCTGGGAGCCTTGACAGCAGCAGCGAGGGAGGCAGCCAACGGCGGTGACTGCTACTGCCTTTGACTTCTGGAGTGGGAAAGCCGCTGCAATGGCCGCCTCTCGCGAGCACTCTTCCCGGCCAACGCCCAAAAGAATCCGGCGCTTGCCAAAGAACAAAGATGTGGACTCAAACGTTTTTCGGGGCCCCCAGGCCAATAGTGTGCCAGGTAGTTCTAGCACGGATGGCTTCCTGGCTGGAGAAGTTGCAAAAACTATGAAACTGGCAGTGGATGAATTGAGCCAAGATGACCTGAAATCGTTGGAAGATCCCAGCTTTCGCGAGCAAGCAGCTCGCTGGCGCAGCGGTACTGGGTCCCGCCGGATCAGTGCAGCGCTGGCTCGGTGCATGAACTCTCTCTACAGTATCAAGCCTGGTTGGGCTAGCCAGGCCAAACCATGTGACGCCGATGCTCCTTTAGCAGAACCCATGCCGCTGCGCGGAGAGGCCCCTTCACGGTTCTGGACTTGGTACCGTTCTTTGTCCCCCTGGTTCCACAGAATCATGGCTTACTGGAAGACAGTGTGGCTACTTGTGCTGCTCCTCCTCTTTCCCAAGTTGGCAGCGGCCCTCGTGGCTCTTGTGGTTCGCCTCGTGGTGCGTTTCAGTGTTGCGGTTTTCTTTCGCGTGGTCCATGAGCTTTGGCAAGAGCTGGACGACGTGCTTGGCCATTTGGGCACTATCACCACTGGCATGGAGCATGCCTTAGTTCAATATGTGGAAGCTTTAGTGACTGGTGGGCCTCCGGCCCCTCCGCCGCTCTTGACAGCTCCTGTGCCGGTGGCTTCGGACAACACTGGGGCTGGTCAGCCCCCCCCCAGCAACAAGTGGTGACCCACCTCTTGCTGTTGCTCAACTTGGGCGTGCAGCTTCGTGGCCACTGGGCAGGTGGGATGGGAGCTCCGTAAGCTTTGAGAGAAAGCTCACTTCTTTGATCCAAC